TATATGCTTTTGGCTGCCCTGGGTCTTAAGTTGTGGCACCCAGACTTAGTTGCCCTGTGCCGTGTGGGGTCTTAGTTCCCAGACCAGGGGTGGAAAGCAGATTCTTAACCTCTGGAGAATCCCAATAAATATTTTTAAGACCTTTCTAGTCTTATTTATGTTCTGCTGTTTAAATCACATTTCTATTGACATATTGTAGAAAATGACAAGCTGGTTGGAGACCTAGAAAAATCACATTGTTTCTAAGTAATTTTTTTCCATTTTGTTTTCCTCCTGAACCTAGAACTTTATGGCAGCTTTTTCAGATTTTTATGTAGATAAATTTATTTTGTTTTGAAATGAATGACTCTTCTGTTAATGTCTGTTTCCAGGGAATCTGTATATGATTCCAGATTTTTTCAATTTATTAATATGTCCTTTGTGGATTTATGTATATTGTTTTACATTTAAAAGAATTATTATTTTCCATTCAGCACCAAGTTTCCTACATACATTAGGGTAAGGTTGATGATTCTTTAAGTTTCAATATATATTTATATTAATTTCATCTAATTCATCTGTAGGTATCTTAGAGAGGTGTGTTAAAGTCCTCTGTATATTTAGGGACTATAGTATTTATAGTATTTATCATTGTGTTTCTTGCTAGTTTTTTTCTTTCCATATTGTCAGACTGTGTCTTAAGTACGTAAAGATTCATGAGTGCTGTATCTTTTTGGTGGGTGTACTTTTTATATATATGCATGTATTGTATATCTAAAGCTCTTAAGAGCTCTAAAGCTCTTAAAGCTTTTTATTTAGAAGTCTACTTTTTTATGGCTGTGATACACCTGATAAATATATGCCTCATATATTTTTCCGTGCCTTCATTTTTAAGATTTCTTTGTGGTTTAATTTAAGTATTTCTGTTGATAAACAACATATGGTTGATTTTCTTTTTCCTCTCCCCACTACTTCCCTTCTCCCTTCCCTTCTTCTAAACGAACTGATTGTCTCATTTTTCATAAATGAATTAAATTTGTGTTTTCTTTGATTCTTTGCCATATTTGGACTTATTTTCTACCATCTTATTTTGTGGTTTCTTTTGCCTCTTTTCCTCTCTTGTTTACCTTATTCTATTGATGTGATTTTTTTTGTCCTCTGTTCGTGTTTTTAGTGGTTTGGAAGTATCCTATTTATCATTGTTTTAATAAAATATCTTTACTGTGATATACTTTGCATACCTTACAGTTTACTCACCTGAAGTGTATAATTCAGTAAGTTTTATTATGTTTACAAAGTTCACCAATTTTAGAACATTTTCAGGCAAGAATATTGGAATGGGGATCCTGGAGGGGATCCTTCCAATCTAGGGATCACACTTATATCTTCTGCATTGGCAGGCAGATTGTTTCCCATTGAGCTACCAGGGAAGCCCATAATATCCAGTGTCTGGACTTGCTGGTAAATATTGATAGTGTGGCACTTTGGAAAGGCTAACAGATGTTAGATTGCATGAAAAGTTTCTTGAAAAATATTTGGTTAATCACTTCTTAGCTATTTTTATGTATTTCAAATAGTTCTTTTTAATTAAGGCAAATTTGAATGATTTATCCATAGGGGAAAATTTTGTTCAAGTTATAAAATTTGCATTAGCAGTAGTTTTTCAGATCTACCTTTTTGTTCTCTCCTGTTCTCCAAATTATAATCTTACATGTCAGGATTATACCCTGACAATTTAGTTTTCAAAATTTAATAGGATCAGAGAACTTTATTTTTTTTAATCTGTTTTATTCGTGAATATCACATTTTATTTCAGATAAAAATTTATGGTTAATAGCATCTTCAGTGTGCAAATATCACCCTGACAATATTTCTCTTATCTAACAAGGCAAGTCCTGATCTCTCTTTCTCACAGTGAAGAGTTTTCATTCGCAGTATGTAACATCACCATAGAGAAAAGATAAACATTTATGAGGTAGCAAGTGTTGCAACTTGTGAAGATGCGATGTCTTTTGTTTAATCATTGAAAAAAAATCCTACACATTTTACATTGATAGAGATCTAACAGAAATAGAACCTTTTAAAATGTGAAGTACTAGGATCAAAGAACTTTAAAAGTTCCTTTAAATATATCAACAAGCTTAGCAGCATTATTTTGTAGATAATTTTTTTAAAGACCCAGCAACGTGACAGTTTGTTATGTAAGTTTTCTGAAGTAATTGATAGTACTTATTGTACTTTTTAATTGTGATATTCACTATTTATTTATAAGCTTGTGGTCCTTTTCATTGACCATAAATTTCTGAAGTTCTTAGAATCCCAAATCAGTGGATAGAATGTCTTTTATAGTTATCCATTGTAGTAAATTTTGAAATATTGCGTGTCACACCTGCTTTAAAATTTTTCTAAGCTTTTGTAAACAAATATTTTCTAAATAATTTATAACTCTTTGATATTCTGAATTCTGTTCTGCATAATGGGGGAAAAATCCCTGCTGAATTTTGGGGGAAATTTTCTACTTTGATCCAATTTCCTTTTTATTTTTCAGATTTTCCTTCATAAAGAGATGTTAATCTATTAAAATGGAATCTATTTTGAAATCATCAACTTAATGGTCTTCCTTAAGTAAAGTAAAAGTGAAGGTGAAGTCAGTCAGTAAAATGCTGTGAATTTCTCCAGATTTTGAATGTTCAAAACACTGGAGTTGTTATTCTCTTGGATTCAAGGAATCAGAGATGAAACATTATCTGTGTTTTCAGAAAACAGTATAGCACCATTGAACTTAATTCTATTAAGAATCAACAATTATGCAGATTCATGATACATTTCATCTGGTTTTACATCCTTGGGATAGTTTTATGCTCTTCTAACTGAATTACAGCAGCTAGAAGAAACTAAGAATTTGCATGGTGAGAAACTTTGATTCAGAATGTGTATACTCAAAAAGTAAATTCTATTAGCCAAAGTAAAGAAGTTTTTAAAATTAATAATATCCCTGTTGTTTTTTACCTGTTAACATGGTGTTATGGGAAATTTTTATTCTTATTGATCAGAATACCCTGATCAATGTATAATATGCAATGAATTGTTTTACCAATTAGTGATTTTCTTAGTGTGTTCTGATTTTTGGAACAAAATACTCCAGACCTGGTAGCTTATAAACAATGGAATCGTATTTCTCATAGCCCTGGAGGGTGGGAGACTAGGGTGCCAGCATGGTTGGGTGAGGACTCTCTTCCTGTGAGGAGCCAGTTCTCTCTTGCTATGCCCTCGTGGTAGAAGGGGCAAAGGAGCTCTGTGAGATCGCAGAAATAAGAGCCCTGTCCCGTTTGTGAAAGCTCCATGCTCATGACCAAGTCACTTTTAAAGTCCCCACTTCTGGATGCCTTTATCTTTAGAGATTAGCATTTCAACATATGATTTTGGAGGGATACAAACATTTAGACCATAGCAGTGATTTTTTTAAAATTTGTTTTGTTGTCTTATTATTATTTCCAAAAATAGATACATTAAAATTCTGAGGAAATAAATCATCTTATAAAAATTAGTTTTTGTACGCTGGAGGACTTGAAGTAATTTCTTGATGCTTGCCTATGTTGTGACTTCCCTGATAACTTAGACGGTAAAGCATCTGCCTACAATGTGGGAGACCCGGGTTTGATTCCTGGGTCTGAAAGATACCTTGGAGAAGGAAGTAGCAACCCAGTTCAGTACTCTTGCCAGGAAAAACCCGTGGATGGAGGAGCCTGGTAGGCTACAGTCCACGGGGTCGCAAAGAGTTAGACACGACTGAGAACCTTCACTTCACTCACTGCCTGTATTGTTATAATTGGCCCATATTACATAGAACTCTTTGCATAAAACAAGTAAAACAGTTCAACTTAAGTCATAATAATCTCTACCGCTGTTTTTTTTTTTTATGGGGTCGCAAAGAGTTAGACACGACTGAGAACCTTCACTTCACTCACTGCCTGTATTGTTATAATTGGCCCATATTACATAGAACTCTTTGCATAAAACAAGTAAAACAGTTCAACTTAAGTCATAATAATCTCTACCGCTGTTTTTTTTTTTTTTTAAGTTATTTCAACTCTTATCTTTACTAACTTCTGCTTTCTTATTACCTTTATTCCATACCACATGTTTTGATTGTGAGTGCGTTTTTTAGTCATTCAGATCTAAAGATGTCATGAATTCTGTTGATTTCTTCTCTGTATGTTCTCTTTTGTTGTTATTTATTTTCTTTTTGCAGCTTTATTGAGATATAATTGGCATATAATCCATATGCTCTTTAAGAATATAATCTTTAGTGTTGGGCTTGTATGATTGTTTTTTCTCACTTTATGTTATTGACTTTTAATCTAAGTTTGTATTGTTAGAATATGTGGTTAATCTGATATTCTTTGAAATTTGTTGAAAGTCCTTTTGTAATCTGTCACACGGTTGTTTTTGTAAGTGTTCCATTTGTGCTTTTATGTTTTTTACTTGTTGGCTGCCTGAGGTTCTGTATATATATTTACTCAATTCAGTTTATCAGTAATGATCAAATTTTCAAGCAGCATGGCTGCCTATGTAATACGTAAAATGATCTTTAAAAATCTTCATTTAATTAAAGATACTAAGAACTTTACCTTAGATTTAGAGATAACTTAAGATTTATGAACTTCAAAGTGATTTTTTTCCTGCTTCTGAAATCCCCAAGATAGCAGTGACAGATGTAGTAGAGTAGCAGCAGTGATGTTAGAAGTAGTAACAGTGATGACAGCAGCCGTGGCAGCTAGCGTTCATGGAGCTCTTACTGTGTGCAGGGCCTCTTGCAAAGCTTCCTAAGTTGGTTACTGAATTTACCCAGTAACAGCTCTACGATGTATAATTGTTTTCCTCATTTTCTAGACTAAAACATAGAAATGTTAATACTCTTGCCATAGTCAGATTGTAATCAGATTGTCTTTCAACAGGTAAATACAAGTTTGTTCAGTTGGACACACAAGAAACTCAAATGTTTTCTTTCCCCTTTTCAGTTATTAGAAAAGTTAAAAGAACGTTGGCTCTCTACTGGTTTATGGCATAATCTGGAGTTGGTGAAGACAGTCATTGTAGAACCACAGGGAGGAGAAAAAATTGATTTTGATGAATTACTGCAGGTGTACTACGATGCAATCAAGTACAAAGGAGAAAAAGGTAATTGGAAATTATTTGATAGTGAAACAGTTTTTTACCACAAAGTGAGAAGTTGGTGCTGTTAGAATTGTATTTGTATTGCCTTTTTTCAAAAATTATTTCTATAATCCTGAGTGAAAAGGAAATTAAGTTAAAGACATTCTTCTGTTTGGAGTTGTTCTCCTATGAGTACTTTCACTTGAAGATACCAGTTCAGTTTTAAGAAATGGGATGCCTTCAGGTATTATCCTATAAACTTCCTTACACTACCTAAAATGTTTTATCAAAGAAGATGATAGGGTATGCATTAATATCTTCCTTACTAGCGGAAGGAGGTTACATTTTCATGCAAAAATATACTTTGTGCTTATACTTAATTGCATAAGGTAAACATAACTGAAGGCTAAATTTCCAAGTTAGAAAATGCCCATAGAACGTTTCATAGAAAGGGCTAATAATAATAACTTATGAACAGTGCCACATCACAAAGATGCTATAACATGATTGTCAGTATCCTTGTATGATAAGATTATACACAGAGTATTCTGTGTGTGTATGTTTTAAATACTTTTCAGTATAATATTGATCCAGTATGATACAGAGTCCTTTAAATCTTTCTGATAACTTTACATTCTGGTGGTAAAGGTAGTGATATCAAATTCAATATTTTAAAGATAAAACAGTTGATTCACAGTTTCTCAGTTCACATGCAGGTTATTATTCTGACATGGTTTTTCTATATAGTTTAACTGGGAGATACACAGTTTGTAAATTGGTCCTACCATGTTGTGTCAACATGTAATTTTGTTTTATCTGAAGACATTGAGCTTTAAAAACTTTATCTTATAGTAATTTTTAATTTTGATTCTTTTTAATTTGATATTATAGTTAATAATCAGATCTTTTCAAAATGACAAGAATAAGACATTTTCTAGGAATCTTGATTATGCTTTTAAAAATGTTGATTTTCTGTTGCTTAAGATGGAGCCCTCCTGGTGGCAGTTTGTCGTGGTAAAGTGAGTGAGGGTCTGGATTTCTCAGATGATAATGCCCGTGCTGTCGTAACAATAGGAATTCCTTTTCCAAATGTGAGAGATCTTCAGGTAGGCCATCAATGCCTTAGAAGTTGTATTTATCATAGAAGTTGTTCGTTTTGTGTAAAGTTAACTATACATTTTTCTTGTATCCTCAGACGTTCTCTGTTAATGCTGTAGTGACTCAGATGAGTGAGAAAGGTTTAGTAGATATGGTTTATTTTATTTTTAACCTGGACTGTCTTTTACTTAAAAAGAATGATTTTCAAAGTATGGGACTGGATCAGGAGCATCAATACCATCTGTGTCATCAGCATCATCAGCATCAATTAACAGAACTACATATTTGCAGGCTCCATCCAGTCCTCCTGAATCAGAAACTCTGGAGATAGAGCCCAGCAATCTGTGTTTTATCAAACTCTGAGCCACAGACGACAGAGAACCCCCCCCCCCAGGGAATTCTAGGGCCCTTATTCGATCTTCTTTCTCTCCAATGCCATGTCTTGCCCTGCAGATTTCAGTGATTTTTGCTGCTCCAAGTTCTACTGTCTTCCACTTCAGCTCAGCAGGACCACCATACTCTGCTTGTACTTCTGTGTTCTGTGCTGTTGTTGAAAAGTTATACCCGGAGGAGCACGGAGAGTCATGGAGTTCACCTAATGGATTTCCCTTGTCTCTGAGATTACAGTCTTATGCTGCCCTGTGTCTGCCCCCCCTGAAAGCAGTTGCTTTATTTATTCTTTCCAATTTACAGTTACTTACAGTGAGAGGAATATTCCTAAGACAGTTATTCTGCCTTGGCCAGAAACAGGAGCTTTGTTTCACTATCACTGATTGTTTACTAAAAGTTTTTGAAAATGATTTGTAGTAATAATTTGAAGCCTAGGGTGATGTTATCTTTATTGGGAAGAATTTTCTTTTATTCCTACAGGAATTTGAAGGTGCTAGGAATCTGAGACCAAGACTTAAGTTTTTCTGACTCTTGAGTATAATCTGTATACCTTTCAGGATGCAACCTGTTAGGAGCTCATATTAAAGCAAGAATTCTTTCCCTTGGTAATTATCTTTTTCATTGTTAATATTTTACTAGACATTTGTAATTATATAGTATTAACAATGTTAATATTTCTCAAGTTAGCTCCTACACTCTCCTAACCTCTGGTCCTCCTCAATATTTCTGAAAGTCCTCAAGGGATATTTATTTATTTATTTATTTTTTTCTCAAGGGATATTTAATCCTTTCAGTCTTCAGTAACTTTGTTGGCTTCCATTGCCTTTCTCCAGCCACCAGTGTTAGTACTGAGAGTTTTGATGACTGTTCATTAGGGCTCCTTTTCTAAAATAGCTAATGCTGCCTCTGACTAGGACTACGATGAAACAGTAGACATCTACTCAAGAAAACTGTTGGGTTCACCCTCAATGGCATTAATGCTCATTCCACTGAAGCTAAGTGCTGTTGATGGCACTGCTGTTAGCACTGGTACTATCTTTTCTGAATGTCTTAACATTTTATCTTGAGTATATTTACAGTACTTTATTACTGTATAGATGCTGCTTTGTTTAAGCAGAGAGAATCCCACACTTTCTACCGCACATTCTTCCCATGTCTTAAATGTAAATTTTTTTCCTGAAACTAGCACTTTCACCTTTTGTTTGTATCGTCATTTACTCTCAGACCTATATATGAGTCCTTGAGAGCTGGAAAAGGAGATAGCTTTATGACTAATAACTGGGTTCTATTAAATATCACACTCACAAAGTAACAAGCCCTGAAATGATTTTGGAGCTAGTTATCAGGGACTTTATTAACTAGTTAATATTAACTACTAACTAGCTTAACTAGTTATAAGGGACTTTCCTGTTCACAGTGACTTTAGCTTTTCCTATAATGTTTGTTTTACTAAAAAGCAAGCTGAAAGAAAATATAGTGAGAATATAATTGTTTACTTTGTTATTCTTTGAAAAAATCTTTAAAATTAAATAGTGTTTACTTGTGAAGAAAAAAAATACATTTACCTTCTATTTTCTCTATCCTCTCTCACAACAGCTGTGATTCTGGGTGTTGTTTATTGCACCAGTCTTGGGCTTCTTAATGCTTTCTTTCCTCAGGATAAGTTCTTCCCAGGCAACATCTCAGTCTGTCATTTAAAAACCAAAAAAAAAAAAAAAAACCAAAAAAAGATACCGGTGACATGCTCTGACATTCCTCAGTCATGGTCCCGCTTGTCATTTGTGCTTATCTGAAATCCAGTGGCTCTAGTTACATAAAACAGCAAAATCACAGAAACTTCAGTGAGGTCTGCACAGAGAGGAGGAAGGTGATTCTAAAGGAGTTTCCCTAGTGGAAAAGGGGCAAGTAGGTGGACCCAAGAATAGTCTAAGCTGCAGGATCAAGGGACAGATGAAGAGGAAAAGTCTTTACTGGAAAGACTTGTAAGGGAAAGTGTATTTCTTGATGCCGTATTTCTGGGTCAGTTCTTCCTAACAAACAGTTCTAAAATTCAGGGGCTCGAAACACTGGTCATTCACTGTGGGTCAACATCTATGAGGGTGGGGTGGGCAATAGATGATTTCAGCTGGACTTAGTCACCTTGCTGTGGTTTGACCAGCATAGGTTGAGTTCAACTGGATCAGCTCTACTGTACATGTATCTCATCCTTTGTGAACCAACAGACCAGCCAGAACATGTTATCATTGCAGTGGCAGAGGTGCAGGAGGCCAGCTTGACTGTCTGAACAAGTATCAAACACCCGCCTCTGTCACATTAGCTAACATTTTGCCTAAAGCATGTCACATGCCCAAGCCCTAAGTCAATAGTGGTGGTGGTGGGGGGGTATTTTCCACTACATATGATAAAGGGCTAAGAATAAAGATTCCAAAAAGGAGCCTTGGCCTTTAAAAATAATAAATAATAATAATAATAATAATAATTAAAGCATGTCTATGGCTTCTCTGGTGGCTCAGATAGTAAAGAATCTGCCTGCAGTGCAGGCAGGATATAAGATATCCTGTCATCACCTTCTTCTCCTGCCTTCAATCTTTCCCAGGATCAGGGTCTTTTCCAGTGAGTCAATTAGGATATAAAAAATACAAAAGTTTGGAATTTTAATAGAGTCCACATTATGTTTTGCTGTTTTTGCCTGTGCTTTTGGTGTCATATTTAGTAAGCTGTTGCCAAATCCATGGTCATGCAGCTTTGCCCCTTATTTTTTTTCAAAGAGTTTCATAGTTTTAGCTCTTAAATTTAAATATTTGATCTATTTTGAGTAAATTTTTATATATATTATAAGATGGATCTAGCTTCCTTATGGAGAAGGCAATGGCAATTTACTCCAGTACTCTTGCCTGGCAAATCCCATGGATGGAGGAGCCTTGTAGGCTGCAGTCCATGGGGTCGCTAAGAGTCAGATGACTGAGCGACTTCACTCTCTTTTCACTTTCATGCATTGGAGAAAGAAATGGCAACCCACTCCAGTGTTCTTGCCTGGAGAATCCCAGGGACGGGGGAGCTTGGTGGGCTGCCGTCTATGGGGTCGCACAGAGTCAGACATGACTGAAGCGACTTAGCAGCAGCAGCTTCCTTATATCTAAAATGAGTCTCTTATAGACATCATATTATTGGATTATGTTTCTAAATTCATTCTGCCATCTCTGCCTTTCTATTGGAGAGTTTAATCCAGTTAAAGTAATCATTGTTAAGGAAGGGCTTAGTTTTACCGTTTAACTGTTTTCTGCCTGTCTTATGTGCCTTTTCCTCAATTCCTTTTTGTTTAGCCTTTTTGTTGTTGTTGTTGTTGTTGTGTAGTATTTTGATTCCCTTCTCTCCTTTTGTATATATTTTTTAGTTATTTTCTTACTGTTACCCTAGGGGTTAGAAGTAACATCTTAATCTCTGTCTCTCCCTTTTTCTGTTATGTAGATTACACCTTTATATAGTGTATGCCATTAGTTTAATTTATAAGTATTCTTTTATGTATTTTCCTTTTAAAAAGTTATAAAAATTCAATAATATTTGCTTTTATATTTACCCACATAGTAAGTTTTACCACTATTTTTATTTATACTTCCTAAAGCACATACTTAGGGCTTCCCTGGTAGCTCAACTGGTAAAGAATCCACCTGCAATGCAGGAGACCCCAGTTCGATTGCTGGGTTGAGAAGTTCCCCTGGAGAAGGGACAGGCTACCCACTCCAATATTCTTAGACTTCCCTGGTGGCTCAGATGGTAAAGAATCCGCCTGCAATATGGGATACCTGGGTTCGATCCCTTGGTTATGAACAGCAGAGGCATTACTTTGTGGACAAAGGTGCATCTAGTCAAAGCTATGGTTTTTCCAGTAGTCGTATATGGATGTGAGAGTTGGACCATAAAGAAAGCTGCGTGCTGAAGAATTGATGCTTTTGAACTGTGGCGTTGGAGACAACTCTTGAGAGTCCCTTGGAGTGCCAGGGGATCCAACCAGTCAGTCCTCAAGGAAATCAGTCCTGAATATTCATTGGAAGGACTGATAATGAAGCTGAAACTCCAATCCTTTGGCCAGCTGATGTAAACAACTGACTCATTGGAAAAGACCCTGATCCTGGGAAAGATTGAAGGCGGGAAAAGAAGGGGATGACAAAGGATGAGATGTTGGACATGAGTTTGAGCAAGCTCCAGGAGTTGGTGATGGACAGGGAAGCCTAGTGTGCTACAGTCCATGGGGTTGCAAAGCTGT